TCTGAGCGCTTGCTGACCAGACGGTCAGATAAATGCACAGAGTTTGCCAGGAGCGAAGAAAAGGTCACGATGGGCGTCTGCTTCCTTTTATCCTTCGTGGAAACCTCGCCTCCAGGTCTCGGCCCCCTTCTTCCATTGTCCTTCCTCCAAGCCCCACTCCCAGGCCCTTTCCTCCCTCCTCCTCCGTCCTTCGTCCTCCAAGCCTCGTCCTCGGTGCCCCAGGGTGAGTGAGGGCTACCGACTATGCTCTATGTCACGTACAGTGGCGTGTGCCGTGGCAGCGTATTGTCAAGGTCAGGACGTCGACGAGTCGGTTAGCCCCGAAGGGAGACACCAGCACGTGCGTGCTCAAGAGGCCGTCACCCCAGGTAACGGTTGCGGAAAGCTTCAAGCAGAGGCGAGCCACCAACACGCTCGCGCGGCTCCGACGGCCTTTGTGGCTGGAAGGTCATGGTCAAGGACGTTCGGATGAGGCGCGAAAATTGCGCATACGGTGCAACCGATCCGACAAAAGCCTAGGCTTACTGCGAGCCTGCGAGGAAGCGCAGCTACTGGAGCGTGCGAGACAGCTGGAGGCGAAGGTCGTCACCTACGAGCGGCAGGTTCTACAGATGCAGACCACCGCACGCGCTGAGCGTCTTGAACAATGGAGGACACCCATGTGTCGATCGGAGGGCTCACGATTGGCTTGAGGTGGCTTGGCGCCTGACCCCGCCTTGATCGACGACGCTGTCAACATCTCCAGGTCTCAATCTGAGGCGCTCCAGATTCTTCGCCAGCGGAGGCGCCGAGCGTGGGATCGCCCACGCCTTGCACCACACGGCTATCCGATGCAAGCCCGATGCTTGCACGTGGCAGTTGTGCCTCCTGGCGCAGCCGATCCGATTCGATTCCGATTCCGTGGCGATGCAGCCCGATCCGACGCACATTCCCGTTCGATCCGATTTCCCGGATCGATGCTGGCCGATCCTGGAATGGGCTTCCGCCTCACGAGCCTGCGGCCAGCGTCGGCGCTGAGGATCGCTGGCGCGCCGAGTTCCCTCGCCCCGCGCAGGCGCAACGTCGCCGCTGTCGCCGCCCGGCGAGCCCGCCCTTGCTGCGCGTTGGGCGTCGCGTAGTGGGGGGGCGATGAGTGAGGGGGCAGCGAGGACCGCAGAAAAGGCGCCCAGAAAAGCCCCTCGAGGGGCTCTCTCGAGCCCAAGAGGGGGCCTGGTAGGGCCCGAAAAGGGGGCACCTTTTCTTCCATTGTCTGCCCCCCCCCCCTGTGTTACTCCCCCCTTGAAGCGCCGCGCAAGCACGGTTTGCCCGCATATGGCATGCAGTCGGCAACGATGAGTAGGTCGGACCTCCCAAATCAAGGGCAGGGCTGGACCTAAACGGTGCTTGGGCGATTTCGTGGGCCGTTCTCGTTTCGACGTCGTTTTGCGGCAGGGGTGGATAGAAGGCAAAAAGAAAGGAAGACGAAAGCAAAACGACAACGAAGAACGCCGTTTAGGTCCAGCCCTGATCAAAGGGTATTCCGGTGTCCGTGCATCGCGTGTCCTGCGCATCTGCCAGGGCTCAGGAGGGAAAGACACACACAGGCACAATGAATCTTCGATCCCCTAGAAGATATAGGAAAATAGGGGAAGTGGGGGGGAAGACAAAAACCCAGAACATATGGGAAAATATATGGGGAATCTGTTTGTATGCGTCGTGTATTTATTTGTGTGTCCTGGGGCCCCTTCGAGGGCGGCAGGTCGCGCGATCGCCCCCCCGAGGGGAGGGGGGCGGCGCGGGCGGCGCGCCGTGCCGTACGCTTCACGCGGCGGGCGGCACGGCCCGTCGGGGAGCCCTCGGTGCCCCGTCCTCCTCCTCCTCCTCCTCCTTCTCTTCCTCCTCCTCCTCCTCTCCTCCTCCTCCTCCCTCCTCCTCCTCCTCCTCCTCCTCCTCCTCCTCCTCCTCCTCCTCCTCCTCCTCCTCCTCCTCCTTTGCGCCCCCTTTGCCGGGCTGCGGGTCGGCCGCGGGTGGCCGCGGTCGCGGCCCTCGGCAGGGCACGCACTCGTGTCCCGTGGCTTTTGGAGGCCAGGTTGCCGGCGGAGGAATCTCGAGTCCCGTCGCGGGTCCTGTGCAATCGATTCCGGCCGCAGGCGTGTCGGATATCAACTGTTTTTCGGGCCGTCCCCAGCGAGGCCCTCCCGCCAGGTGCCTTGCCCACTCGTTCCCCGTCGCGACCCGCTCGCGAGTTCTGGCAGGCGCCCTGGCGGCGAGCAAGCGCATCGCTTCGCGCTCGCGCCTCGACGACAGCGAGGCAGCGCTGTGGGAGAGCGCTACAGTCAGGGCGCACAGTAAGCAGCGACTTTCCAAGGCTACCCTTGCATCCTTCCCCGTGCATCCTCATCGTACATCCTTATCGTGCATCCTTATTCTGCGCCATCGCTGTGCTGAGGATCGCGTGCCTTGTCGCATGGCTGCGTCGGAGCGTCTGGCCGACGTCGATCCGAGCAGCGCCGCCCGCGCTCCTCGGTGCGGCCTTGAGCAGGGCGTCGGGAGACGCGGATCCCGTGAGGGCGCGACGGCAGCGTGCGCTCGCAGTTCCCCCCCTCGCTGTCCGCATCTGCCATGCTGCCTGCAGGGTGTGGGCCCTTCTCTCCGATCCGTGCTTCGGTGCGGGTCGTCGGCGCGCCGCGTCTCCCTCGCCGTCGTGGTCGGCGGCACCTCGGTCGTGGTGCGTGTGGCTCTGCCTTGGACCTCCTTTATACCGTCAGGCCGAGGCATGAGGCCGAGGTCGGTTCGGGGAGGGTATGTATCAGGAGGAAGAGAAACACACAGACACAAGTAATCCTCGAGTCCCTCGAAAATATGGGAAGATATGGGAAGTGGGGGGGAAGACAGAAACCCAGAAAATACAGGAAAATATGGGGGGCAGTTTTATTTGTGTGTATTTATTTGTGTGTCCTGGGGCCCCTTCAATGTACCTTAATGTTCGTCGTGCTTGCTGGACGTTCTTGTGCATCCGGGGGGAAGGGAACTTTTGGATGCTCGGGGAGTTTGGCCGGCAGAGGGTCTCATGTGCTTGAAGGATGTCCTTCTGTCCTTGGCCTGGCTGTACTAGAGCTTCCTTCTGGACGAGCCAGTCGCGACCGAAATTCGGCCCCCAGCCGCGACCGAAGTTCGACCTCCTTTCGCGAAGTTTGGCAACGCGCGAGCCGTCGACGTCCTCAAAACCGTCGCTTGGGCCCCGACGCGCCGCCACCTCGTTACCTAACTTCGACACACTCTGGTCGCGACCGAAGTTTGGCGCGACCGAAATCCATATACCTAAAACTTCCACCACCGCCACCGCTGCAGTAGGAGCTCGACCACAAGAAACCTCCCACAAGCAACCCAACCCTGAGACCCCAGGGCGTCCACGGACCCTTGGCGTGGGAGCGTCACGCCTTCTGTGGCAAAACCAGCGAAAGCCAAGAAACCCAGGGCACCCTGGAGGCGAGCAGGGTGCTTCTTGGCATGGGCCTCCGCCGCAGATGCGCGCCGCGGCGCCAAACCGACCTCTCGATCGCTCGCAGCGTGCAGGCTGGCGGTGCGGCTGCCGCCGCGCCTCGAGAGGCAGCGCTCCCCTCGCCAAGACTGCCCGCCACCGCCACCGCGAGGGTGCGCCCCGTGGCGCTGGCTTTCGCCGGCGTGACCTTTGGTGCGGGCCCAGTTGGGTCCCCCGATCGCCGAACGCGATGCGAGGGTAGTCTCTAGCGCTCTTGTGGGTGTGACCCACCCGCAGCCCCCAAAAGCCGCGCACCAAAGGTCACCCTTACCCAGGGTCACTCTTGCGTGTAGCCGATCGTCGGCCGAGGGCGAGGACATCGGGGGCGGCCAGGAGGGGGCTGAGGACAAGGGGGGAGGGGGCACATCACGGCGGGGGCCACAGTATCTCCCCAGATTTCATGGCGCCTCTCCTTACTTCCACACGTCCCCAGCCGCCCCCCGGGCCGCGCACGTGCCGCCGGCCATGACTTGCGCCCCCTGCCTCCGACGCCCCCCTCTTGGACGCCCCCCTCTCCAGAGCGTTCCGGAACGCTCCGAGATCCGGAACGCTCCGAGAAGACCGCGGCGCCCGAGGCGTTCTCCAGAGCCGCCGGCTCTCAGGGACTCTCGATTTCTTCTCATCCGATTGTATCCTCGTCCTGCTCACTCTTGCCCTCGTGCTCTCCGGCCCCTCCCCTGCGAACGGCGCCGGCGCCGAGGAGTTATGCCCGCGCGCATATGTCGCCGCGCCGTTTGTTCCGTCGCGCGGCCTTGCGTCTTGGGGAGGGCGCCGCGGACACCATGGCAAACGCCGCCTCGGGCTCCCTCTCCCCGCCTACACTCCTCGTCCTCCCATCTTCCTCGCCGCTCGTCGGTGGTCGCTCCTCGTCCTCGTCCTCCCCTCCCCCCTCGTCTCCCCTCCCCTCCTCGTCCTCCCTTCCCTCCCCTCCTCGTCCTCCCCCCCTCGTCTCCCCTCCCCTCCCCTCCCCTCCTCGTCCTCCTTCCCCTCCCCTCCTCGTTCTCCCCCCCTCGGTTCCCCCTCCCGTCCTCGTCCTCCCTTCTTCCTCGTCGCTCGTCGGTCGTCCTCTGGTATCCTCTGGCCAGCCTCGTCTCTCTCTCTCTCTCTCTGTCTCGCAGCGGCCGTCTAGCTACCACCCTTTCCCTCCCGAGGCCCAAGAGGGGGAGGAGGAGGTGAACGGGGGAGGAGCGGCCGGGCCGCTCGTGGCGTATCTGGTGCAGGCGTGGTTCCTGTCAGCAGCGCAGCACCCTGGGGCTCGCGCGCCACACGGGATCCAGGAGGAGGAGCAGGAGGAGCAGGAGGAGCAGGAGGAGAAGGAGGAGCAGGAGGAGGAGGAGGAGGAGGAGGAGGAGGAGGAGGAGGAGGAGGAGCAGGAGGAGGAGGAGCAGCAGGAGGAGCAGGAGGAGGAGGAGCAGGAGGAGGAGGAGGAGGAGGAGGAGGAGGAGGCGAGGTCCTCGTCAGAGTGCCTCCTCCCCGCCAGGTCCCGGAGTTCGTGGAGCCGTGCGACATGCCCGCCTTCGCCCGGGACAACGCCCGCCGGCTGCAGTTCGCGGTGGACCAGGTCGGGGGCGCCACCAGCCCACCCGCTCGGAGCCCAGCCTTGAGTCGGGCCTGTCCCCCTACAGGGGGATTCTCGACGAAAAAAAAAGGTACTCCCCAAAAGAGTCAAAAAATAGTCCCCAAAAAGTCAGGGGACGATTTTTTGAGCAATGTTTTTTCCTTATACCATTTTGGGGCAGTTTGGGAGAATTTTTCGTTCTTTATCTTTCGTCGAAAATCCCCCTGTAGGGGGACGGGCCCGACATAAGCCCAGCCGGGCCGGTCCCCCCGAGGCCTCCTGCCGCGTGGAGACCCCCCCGGGGCCTTGCGGGGCCCCCGAAGGCTTGCAGAGGCCTCCGCAGAGGCTTCCGGAGGCCCAGAACCTCGAGAGCGCAATTTTTTTATTGTTTTTTGTCTTGGCCGGGTCTGGGGGCACCGTGGCCCTCTCAGATCGTTCTGTGTCGAGGGATGACGCAGAATGGTGAGCTCTTGGACTCCGCTGGCGATTTTCCACAATATTTCCCCAAACAGCTGAACGGGGTGCTGTTGTGATAGAAGCTAACTCCAGCAGGGAATTCAACGCAGAGACGTCCTCAAAAAAATGTGGTGGTCCGGGCTGTTTCGCCTGAGACATCCTCGCAACTCTTGTTTCTGAGTTGTCCAGGATTGGGCGTTTCGCGTGAGACATCCTCCAAGCTCTGAGTTCCCGGATGCCGCGCAAGAGGTGGTCCGGCTCGTTTCGCCTGAGACATCCTCGAAACTCTGAGCTCCCAGATGCTGCGCGAGAGGTGGTCCGGCCCGTTTCGCCTGAGACATCCTCCAAACTGTGAGCTCCCAGATGCCGCGCGCGAGGTGGTCCGGCCCGAATCGCCTGAGACCTCCTCCAAACTCTGAGCTCTGAGATGCCATGCGCGAGGTGTTCAGGCTCATTTCGCTTGAGACATCCTTGCAACTCTGAATTCTGAGATGCCGCGCAAGAGGTGGTCCAGCCCATTTCGCCCGAGACATCGCCGCAACTCTGGGGTCCGAGATGCCGCGCGCGAGGTGGTCCAGCCCGTTACGCCTGAGACATCCTCGCAACTCTGGGCTCCGAGATGCCGCGCGAGAGGTGGTCCGGCCCGTTTCGTCTGAGACGTCCTCCAAACTCTGAGCTCTGAGATGCCGCGCGTGAGGTGGTCTGGCCCGTTTTGCCTGAGACATCCTCGAAACTCTGAGTTTTGAGCTGCCGCGCAAGAGGGGGTTCAGCCCATTTCGCTGGAGACATCCTCGCAACTCTGACCTCGGAGATGCCGCGCGCGGCGTGGTCCAGCCCGTTCCGGGAGAATCCTCGCAATTCTGGGCTCCGAGATGCCCTGCACGAGGCCGTCTCGCCTGAGACATCCTTGCAACTCCGAGCTCTGAGATGCCGTGCGCAAGGTGGTCCGGCCCGTTTCGCACAAGACATTCTCGCAACTCTGAGCTCCCAGATGCCGCGCAAGAGGTGGTCCAGCCTGGGAGCCCAGAAGACCACATGTGACATATCCCCCTGGGACCCTGGGAGCCCCAGGAGGCCTCAGAGAGTTCCAGGAGGCCGCAGGACGCCCAGGACAGGCCCCAGGGGTCCCCAGGAGATTCCCAGGAGGCTCCCAGCAGGCCCCAGGAGGCCCCTTATCAGAGCGTGTCAAGTTAATACGCATCCAGTGTCGATTCGTTGATTTTTCCTGCTCTTGTGGCCCCTCCTTCCATTTTGGGGGGCCCCGACGGCCACATGTTAGATATCCCCCCCGGGAGCCCCAAGAGGCTTCAGGAAGCCCCAGGTGGGGTCCAGGAGGCCATAGGAGGCCCAGGAGGAAGCCCCAGGAGGTCACCAGAAGGCCCCAGGAGGCCCCAGGAGGCCCCCGCAACTTGGAGCTCTGAGACACCGCGCTCGAGGTGGTCCGGCCCGTTTCGCCTGAGACTTCCTCGCAGTACGTTTCGCCCGAGACATCGTCGCAACTCTGGGGTCCGAGATGCCGCGCGCGAGGTGGTCCAGCCCGTTACGCCTGAGATATCCTCGCAACTCTGGGCTCCGAGATGCCCTGCGCGAGGTGGTCCGGCCCATCTCGCCTGAGACATCCTCGCAACTCCGAGCTCTGAGATGCCGTGCGCAAGGTGGTCCGGCCCGTTTCGCACAAGACATTCTCGCAACTCTGAGCTCCCAGATGCCGCGCAAGAGGTGGTCCAGCCTGGGAGCCCAGAAGACCACATGTGACATATCCCCCCTGGTACCCTGGGAGCCCCAGGAGGCCTCAGAGAGTTTCAGGAGGCCGCAGGACGCCAAGGACAGGCCCCAGGGGTCCTCAGGAGATTCCCAGGAGGCTCCCAGGAGGCCCCAGGAGGCCCCCGATCAGAATCAGAACGTGTCAAGTTAATACGCATCCAGTGTCGATTCGTTGATTTTTCTTGCTCTTGTGGCCCCTCCTTCCATTTTGGGGGGCCCCGACGGCCACATGTTAGATATCCCCCCTTGGGAGCCCCAAGAGGCTTCAGGAAGCCCCAGGTGGGGTCCAGGAGGCCACAGGAGGCCCAGGAGGAAGCCCCAGGAGGTCACCAGGAGGCCCCAGGAGGCCCCAGGAGGCCCCCGCAACTCGGAGCTCTGAGACGCCGCGCTCGAGGTGGTCCGGCCCGTTTCGCCTGAGACTTCCTCGCAGCACGTTTCGCCCGAGACATCGTCGCAACTCTGGGGTCCGAGATGCCGCGCGCGAGGTGGTCCTGGTCCAGCCCGTTCCGCTGGAGACATCCTCGCAACTCTGGGCTCCGAGATGCCGTTCGGGATGAAGAGGAGGTGGAGGAGGAGGAGGAGGAGGAGGAGGAGGAGGCGGCGGCATGTTCTAACATGCCATGCCAGCCCGCACTGGACGGGCACGCAGTCGACCTTGGAAACCGCAGTGGGTTTAAAAACCTTGTTTGGGGATACTGCACTCCGGTTATATTTCGTTCGCGACGTCGGATCTCGGGGTGGAGGCCCAAGTGGGGCCAACATCAAATGCGAGCGAGGGACAGAGCATGCCCGGCAAAACAGACGCTCAAAAACCAGAAGCCACACCCCTCCGCGAAAAGCTTTCTGCAAGCCTTTTTCCTGCGCTGCGCCGGCGCCCCCAGATCCCGAAACATGCCAGTGTGGATAGAGGTGCCGTAAGAGTGGCTTCGTGTTTTGCGCCGGCGTCCGCAGATCGTGCCGCGCGCGCGACGGAACACTGACATCGGGGGCCAGGGGGGGTCGGCAAAGCCTGCCCGATGTCTCGCGGAGTGCTGCGGGACTGCTCGGTCCTCCACGGATCCACCGCCAGAGCATGTCTCAGGAGGGGAAAAAACACACAGACACAATTAATTATGGATTCCCCAGAGTATATGGGAAAACGGGAAGTGGGGGGGAAGATAAAAACCCACAAAATATGGGAAAATAAACGGAATCCTTTTGTTTGTGTGTATTGATTTGTGTGTCCCAGGGCCCCTGGAATGTCCACCCCCACCGCTTCGGAGGCGCGCCCCAGGGGACACGACCACGCGGCAGTGGGCATGGACATGTTCTGGCGGCGCAATGGAGGGGCCCGCCCGGTGGAGATCAGGAGGGGAAAACACACACACACAGACACAATGTCATCGTCGACTCCCCAGAAGATATGGGAAAAGATAGGAAGTGGGGGGGAAGGCAAAAACCCCGAGAATATGAGAACAGATTGGGAATCTTGTCCTTTGTGCCTATCTATTTGCGTGTCCCAGGGCCCCTTCAGGAGAGGCTGGTCGCCGGGCCCGCGGATCGGGCGCGCCGGGCCCGGGCCCGGGCCCGAGGCGAGGTGCGCCCTGACTCCAGTCGGCCATATGCGCAAACAGTGGCCCTTGGCCGATCTTGGCCGGAGTGGCCTTTTTTGGTGCGGGCCCAGGGCACGCTCGGGCACCGAGCGCAGGCCCACCCAGACAGGTCGACGGAGGAAATCTGGAGTGGGCTCGATACAGTCGGGGCCCTAAAGAAGGAACCTTTTTTGTTGGGGAGGGGCTCCGTGTTCCTTAGTTGCTTTACAGTGCTCCTTGGGTTTTCCTGAGGTTTTCCATGGAACATCGGAGCTTAATTTATGGGAGAAAGAGGCCTCGTTCCTTATTTATCGTTCCTCAGGTCAACTCCCCGACCGTAGTGGCATTCGATTGTGCCGGTGCAGTCCTCAGTCGGTTTCGCTGCTCGACTGGCGTCTCGCTGGGTGCAGTCGGTGGTTTCTGGACGTCGATTAGCTCTACCCCACGGGGTGGACCGGAATGCGGTTCCGTGCGCACCTGGAGTGCCTTCGGCAGCTTTCACTAGAGGGCGTTTGCTACGGGGGGGACCTGTCCACCTCCGACACTCTCGCCTGTTGCGTGGAGGCGACTCCGGATCTGCCGTGTTCGGGGCGATGTCGTAGGTAGGGCGGAAATACCCGACCGTCTTGTCAAAGAATCAAATATTTCTTTGATGTAGGTTTCCGCCCTACTTTACCGCCGTTGTGTTTGCCATACCTCTGCGGAAATGTCGGCCTGATGTTTCGGAGGCGGAAATTCCCGCCCTACTTTTAGTTCTGTTTGGGGCGCGTGTCCGACACAGCTGCAAGTCGGAAGGTGATTAAGCAGAGCACGGCGGATCTGGAGTCAGGGCGGGGCGGGCCGGGGGCGTCCCGTGCCGCCACCCGGCCAGGGGGGCCACTCGCACCCGTTCCAGGGCATCGGGAGTGCCCGGGGCGTGTAGCTCCTTCCCCTCCCTCGGGTCGGACGAATGGGGTGGGTGGGGGCAAGGGGTGCTGCGAAAACGGATGCTGTTGGAGGAGGAGGAGGAGGTGGAGGAGGAGGAGGAGGACCAGTGCAAACCCAAGGCGCATCAACGATGTTGCAATAAACCATCCGTCCAAGTTTCTTGCTCATGGGACCCTGCAAATATGCATTTTCACTACAGGAAATGCCCTGTTGGACGCCGACCGTTCAAGAACCCTCAATCGTGCCATAACACCATTCTTCGGATTTCAACGCCGCGAATCAACTTTACTCCTGCGTTCTGGCGGTCTTGCATCGTGCCAGAACGCCTTTCCTTGGTTTTCAACGCCGCGGATCAGCGTGGCTTTTGCGCCCAGACGATCCAAAACCGTGCCAGGGCAGCATTTCTGGAACGTCAACCATCAGAAGTCCGTTGACAGTCTGTCGTATGTTGGAGCGAATGTGTGCGGCGCTAACGCGGTAACCACATTTTCAGAAGGACCTGCCCCCCATCCGATTGCCATCCATGAGACTCTTGCAGACCTGTTTATTACGAGTGTGCGCGGCGCCGCGGCGCCGCTGCGAAAACCACATTTGGAAAGGACCTGCCCTCTGCCCATGAAACCCCCGCAACCTTTAAGCTGAATCTCCGCGGCGCTACGGCGAGAGCTACATTTTGAAACCGGCCCGCCTTCATCCGCGAAACGGCTGCAACTTGTTCAGGACGACGGTGCGCGGCGTCCAGGCGAAAGCCACAGTTCGAAAGGGACCCGCCCCCATTATCGAATCTCTTGCGGAGTCTTAAGACGAAGGTGCGCGGCGCTTGCGCGAGAACCACAGACTGAAAACCATGCACATTTTGCACGCTTTGAAGAGGAATGCTCGTGGCGCCACAGCGAGAGCCACATTTTGAAGAGGACTCGCCCTATTTCCGTGACACTCCTGCAAGATTTCAAGACGAATGCGCGCGGCGCAGAGGCGGCAGCCACATTCTGAAAAGGACCCGCCCGCCGTCCACGAAGCTCTTGCGAACACGAGTGTGCGCGGCGCGGTGGCGAGAGCCACATTTTGAAAAGGAGCCACCCTCCGTCCGTGAAGCGCTTGCAAACTTTTAAGACGAATGTGTGCGGCGCGCAAGCGAGAGCCATGTGTTGATCAGGACCCGCCCTCCATCCATGAACCTGTTGCACGTTTTACGTTTCAGACATATCAGCGGTGAGGAGGTCTCAGGTGAAACGCCCGGCCCGCGGTTGACGCCAAGGCCAACCCTTGTGTTGGTGTCGATGCCACGTTCCAGGCCCCCGAAGGTTACGAAAACTGCTGCAGGCAGCCGGTTTCGGCCCCGCCGAGGAGGAGGAGGAGGAGGAGGAGGAGGAGGAGGAGGAGGCGGCGGAGGAGGCGGAGGAGACGGAGGAAGCGGAGGAGGAGGAGGAGGAGGAGGAAGCGGAGGAGGAGGAGGAGGAGGAGGAGGAGGAGGAGGAGGAGGAGGAGGAGGAGGAGGGGGATGGGGAGGAGGAGGAGGCCGAGCGATTTCTTCGATGCACTTGCGCCTCCGGCGCCAGGAGGCGCCAGGAAACCCAGCCGCGTGGGCTGATTCGCTGACCCCCTTTGCTATATCCACCTCTTTCGCGTCCGACCCGACGCTCCCTCCTCTCACAGAGTCGGAGGCCTAGAGGTTGACACCAACACCAATATCGGCGTTGTGCCTCCACTGAGGGAAGAATATCCCAATCTCGGTGACGGTGGTAATATTCTGGCTTCCTAGGCGGCCGAAAGATTATCACCAACACCGAATTCTAGGATCGTCCTTCCCTGGTGGAGGCAACCCCCTGTGTTGGTGATGGTGTCAATTTCCAAGCCTCCAACAGAGGGGCAGTGCCAAGAGGGGTCACCAGCAGTGGATCACTCCTGGAAGTCGAGGATCGGGGAGGTTTTGGACGTTCTTGGGTGTCCTGGAGGGTCCTGGGGAGGGGTCCTGGGGTACAGGGGGGTCCACTTTCTAGGGGACTTGGTGATTTCCTTACGGTCGGGAACTCTTGGATAGCGTGTCGCTCCGCCTGTTCTGGCCCACCACGTTTCGGCGCGACACGTCATCACTTTCTTGGTCCCCAGGCGTCAACGTCTCGAGTTTTTTTCCAACCTTCTGCCCCGTGGAGCGGAGCGACACGCTATCCGCTTACAGGTCACAGCGTGTCGCCGAGGCCGCCGCCGCGACACGCTAAGCCTCATTTCCCGACCGTAGTTGTGACCCCATGTGGCATTGCCTCGTCACAGAATGACCAAGAGCGGTGCAAGCATGCACCTTTTGAGGTACACGCGGATGTCTTACGTCGGCGTCGTGCCCCCCCTGGCGACGCATCTGGTGCCGCCCCTGGCGCGCGCCGCGCGCAAAGTAGGCCGCGCCGATCCAAGACAGAATCCGCGCCGAACTCTGACAGTTTAGACTGTGCAGCTGGCTGTTCGTCTACCCTCCCATCCTCCTCCCTCCTTCCAGGCAGCGCCGAAGGGGGTCACGACCGGAGGGGTTGCCGCCGCCGCCCCAGGATCGAGGACCGAGACGGAGCAGGGTCGAGGATCGAGGGTCGAGGAGGCTTACGCTGCCGTCCTTCAGCGTTTTTGTTGCACCCACGATGCCGCAACCCAACGTGCATCCCAGGAGGTTTGTGAAGGCCCCCGGGGGGAAGGGCAACATTCAGAACAGCAGCGAATTCACCGCACTGAAAGACGACCGAGGGTCGCGCCATGCACGCGCTGTGCACACACACACGGCTTCACGACACCAAAGATGGCACAACGTGTTCTTCATTGGCTATGGTGAGGGAATGGGGGAGTCCTGCCTGTCAGTCCTCCGCAGGCGGTGGCGACCTCCCCAGCGGCGATTCCCCCCTTTGGCGTTGCCTGGCCCTCGCCTTCCCCAGACCTCAGTCCTCCGGCGGCTGGTTCTTCGTGAGCCCGACGTGGCAGTGTGTTCTCCTCAAGTGTCGGGCCCCCAGAGGGCCGCTTCGGGCGCCTCGCGGGGCCACCAGGAAACAATGCCGTGGTGGAACGCTGCCTTCCCTGAGATCCGACGTCGTTTTGAAAAACTTGAGCATCGCCAAAGATCCCGACTCGAACCCTAGACCTCATTTTGTTGCCGCCTTTGTTCGAGCCGCGTCGATCTGGAATGGTCCAGGGGGCGGGATCCTGGCGAAGCTGCTTGCTGTGAACAAAAGTGCATCGTTCGGATCTCAGGGTTCTGGAAACTGGTCGAGAGTCAGAGGAGCAAGAGGTCATGTTCATGATGCATTCCCGGATTTACCAGGTTTCCAGGATTTTCGAGATTTAGCTACGGGTGTTTCACACGAACTGCAGAAACGAGGGCCGCTAGATACTCGTGGACCTCATGGAACTCGTCTTGAGGCAAACTCATTGCGACGGTCTCCTCGTCCTGGGGATCTGGGGGGTCCAGGGGTTGGGCAAGACCGCGGACGTCGGAGATCTCTGGGCCCCTCCCTGCTGTAGTTGTATGTGGCAGGCTGCCATTGGCCTGGACACCCTCGGCCGGAGGCCGAGAAAAGTAATGAAAGGTGGGGAAGAAACCAGCCAAGAGTCGCCTAAGGCCCTTCCTGGCCAGAGTCAAAAACAACAGGATGACCCCCAACAGCATCTAAAAGGAAATAATTCCAGCACAGCCTAACCAACTTAGTTCCGAGTTCGGCGAGGAGAGGGCGGGGAAGAGGTAGGACGAGGCCGCCGGGTGGGCCCCTCCCTCCCTGCCTGCTGGCGCCGTGGCGCCACCGCCGTGGCGCCCCCTCGCGAGGCTTCCCCGCGGACGAAAAACAGGCGCATTGCGTCGGGCGTCTGGTGTGTCCCTTCCGCCCCCACCGTCCAGAGGCGGAGGGAGGAGCAGCAGCCAGAGAGAGAGAGAGAGAGGAAGTAGGAAGGAAAATAGAGGAGGAGGAGGAGGAAGAGGAGGAGGAGGAGGAGGAGGCGGAGGAGGAGGAGGAGGATAATGTTGATGAGCGGGAGGAGGGGGACGTGGAGGATGATGGGGGAGGGGAGGAGGAAGAGGAGGAGGAGGAGGAAGAACCAGGATGATGATGAGGAAGAGGAAGGAGGCGGATGCTGAAGGGGAGGGATGGAGGTCAGTGCTCACTTCAGTTTGGGCCAATTCAGGCAGCGCCGCGCGGGTGTCTTGACAGCAGCGAGATGAGAAGGATTGAGGATGAGGAGGGAGCAGCTAGAATGGAGCAGGAAGAGGAGGAGCAGCATGAGAATGATGACAAGGCGGAAGATGAGGGGGATCAGCAGGAGGAAGGAGATAATGATGAGTAGGGTAAGTTCAATGGGACAGGGCGAGGAGGGGGAAGAAGATTAGTAGCGGTAGTGCTATCATGCGTTATCATTCGTAGTAGTGGTCGTACTAGAAGAAAGTGATGATCACGATGATGATGATGATGATGATGATGATGATGATGATGATGATGATGATGATGATGATGATGATGATGATGATGATGATGATGATGATGATGATGATGATGATGATGATGATGATGATGATGATGATGATGATGAGGATGATGATGATGATGATGATGCTGATGCTGATGCTGATGCTGATGCTGATGCTGATGATGATGATGATGATGATGATGATGATGATGCTGATGATGATGATGATGAGGAGGAGCAGGACGATGAGGATGATGAGGATGATGAGGATGATGAGGATGATGCTGACGATGATGATGCTGATGATGATGATGATGACGATGGCGATGATGCTGATGCTGATGCTGCTGATGATGATGATGGCGGTGCTGATGATGATGCTGATGCTGACGACGATGATGATGGTGGTGATGATGATGACGATGATGATGATGATGATATTGATGATGATTACGATGATGATGATGATGATGATGATAATGATGATGATGCTGATGATGATGATGACGATGAGTTTGAGTATGATGCTGTTGCTGATGATGATGATGATGATGATGATGATGATGGTGGTGATGATGATGAGGAGGAGGACAATCATTGATTATCAATCATATCGGGACGGATAAGCGGTGGTTTGGATGATGAAGTTCTGATGGTACGGATTAGTATGAGAAGAATGAGCGGGTGGAGAAATAGAGGAGATGAAGATGGATATGGCCGCAGCTGTGGCAGTGGTTGTCGTACCCGTCGGTGTAGGTTTATCTTTCTCTTTCTTCTGACCTTGGGATCGTTGGCAGCGCCCGGCAGCTCTCAGGCAGCGGCTCGTGGACAGCTCCTGGGCAACGCTTCCAAGGCTCATGCGCAACCTTGGCAAGACGAGCGGCGTTGGCGCGGGCGTCGGCGAAAGTTGGCCCTGGAGGAGCTGCAGAGGTAAGGGCAGCACTGATGGCGCAAAGATTATCGCGCTTCGCGTTTTGGGCCGACGCCGGCGAGCAGCGTCAGGGGCCAGCGCGAGAACGCGAAGTTGGTCGCGCTTCGCGCAGCGCGAAGCGCGCATATTGCTGCCCTGTCAGAGGCTGGCTGGCGTGTGTCGGCCAGGAGGTTCTATAGCCAGCTTATGAAGCGACGAAGATGTTCTTTAGGGGCCGACGACGAAGATGTTCTTTAGGGTCGACCGGCGGCGTGGTGATGCTGCTGCTCTGGTATACTGCCAATGACATACTTCGTGGCCAGTTTGGCTCGAGATTGGCTCAGGCTTTTCCTCCCTGACGGACCACGCATTTCCAGCCCGCTCGTTCTCGGGTTTCTGTGCGCTCTTCTCCTTGGCGCAGAGCAAGCATTAGGAGTTCCCCGTCGACGAAGCTTGCGTGCGGGTGCAATGTACTGGTGGGTGGTTTCAACTTGAACCTTCTCGGCATTGGAGACTTCAGTGACATCGGGCTCGCAGGTCTCTAGACTTGGCTGTTGGACGAGAATTTGATCAGGGCAATCAGCGGCCGCCTATAGGAGTTTAACGTCGCCATGCGAGCCGCCAAGCGTCCACCCCGATTCCGCCTGCAGAGCCTGATGTCACGCGTGTGATGGATACGGTTACGCATATCGCCCTGATTGAAATCATAACCCCGCGGCAGCCCCACCTGCCGAGCGATCCTGCTAGCGGTGATCCCCTGGTCGTTCGGCGTCTACATGGCACAGGCCAAGTCGCGCTCATCCGCGAGAGACCTGTGCCGCCGCTGACGCACGAGGGCTTGCTGGCGGTGCATGTCATCACCATTTGCCACCAAATCGAGCGCGCTGACTTGCATAGCGAAGTGACGGGGCTTCGCGAGTTGCTCAGCGGCTTTGGGTCTGCCGGTGACTTCCGCGGCCTGGAGCTCAACCCGCACACTCTAAGTCTCCCCCGGGCGGAGCTCGTGCATTGGAATGGGAGCATGCAAGTAGTCGCCCGCCCTTGAGCGTGCACGCTGTCATTCTCGGTGCGGTGGTTGCTTGCCTGTGGCCATATAGTGCCTCCGGGGTTCTTGGCTACCTTGCTGTCCAGGTCCTTGTGGCTATGTTGACCGCGCTCCGCGATGCTCTCTTGTAGGGCGACGATATCTATACATATCCACTGCTCCTGGCCAGGCCAATCCTGGGCCCAAGAGCTGTGTATACGCCCTCCTGGCTTGGCCAGGGAGGCATATACACCGCTCCTGGGCCCAGGATGGGCCTGGCCAGGAGCAGTGGATATGTATAGATATCGTCGCCCTATCTTGCATAGCACCTCGTACACGATCACGTCTGCAGGGCACCCATCGACAGCATCATCACGTCGCAGCTGTTCCGCGCTCCGGAGCGCCCGACGCTCGACACGGCTCTCCGCGCGACGATGGCAGCAGCAGTTCCTGTCGTGGCCCCGGCAGCCTTCGCTCGCACGTCCTTCGGGAGGGGAAAAAACACACAGACACGATATCCCCCAGAAAATATGGGAAAATATGGGAAGTGGGGGGGAAGACGAAAACCATGAAAAGATGGGAAAATATGGGGCATATTTTTGCTTGTGTGTCTTTATTTGTGTGTCCCAGGGCCCCTTCAGTCCTCGCCGAGCTGGACTGGCAGGACGACGGCTGGAGCATCCAGGGTGCTCAGAGGGCCTGGTGCGTCACGGTGCCAGTGCGAGGGGGCCGTGCTGGTCTCTCGTCGTCCGGCTCTGCTGAGTGGCTTCCTCCCTCCCTCCGCATTATCCGTGTGTCTAAGTTTGGGCTGGGGGGGGGGAAATTGTGTTTCTGAATAGGGGAACAAAAAGTGGCATAAACATAAAAACTCGGAGGTCCGCGCGGATTTCTCGGATCGGCGCTGGACCCCCCTCCCTGGCGCGCGGAGCGCGCCAGGGGCGGCGCCAGAGGTGCCGCCGGGGGGCCCCAGCGCCGATCCGAGAAATCCGCGCGGACCTCCGAGTTTTATGTTTATGCCACTTTTTGTTCTCCTAATGAAACCCGCAGTGTCTGCACAGACCCTGCGGCAGCGGCCCGTGCTGTTTCGTTACCGACGGATTCGGTCCCCATCGGTGTTCGTTCGTTCGTTCGTCGTCGTCGTCCTTCCTCCTGCTCCT